GCCCAGCTGCTGTGTGTCCAGCTGCTGCAGGCCCCAGTGCTGCATCTCCAGCTGCTGCCGCCCCTGCTGTGGTGGTTCCAGCTGTGGTGGATCCAGCTGCTGCCGCCCCACTTGCTGCGTGTCCAGCTGCTGCAGACCCACTTGCTGCATCTCCAGCTGCTGCCGCCCCTGCTGTGGTGGTTCCAGCTGTGGTGGATCCAGCTGCTGCCGCCCCACTTGCTGCGTGTCCAGCTGCTGCAGACCCACTTGCTGCATCTCCAGCTGCTGCCGCCCCTGCTGTGGTGGTTCCAGCTGTGGTGGATCCAGCTGCTGCCGCCCCACTTGCTGCGTGTCCAGCTGCTGCAGACCCACTTGCTGCATCTCCAGCTGCTGCCGCCCCTGCTGTGGTGGTGCCAGCTGTGGTGGATCCAGCTGCTGCCGCCCCACCTGCTGCATCTCTAGCTGCTGCAGACCTTCCTGCTGCCAGTCCCCCTGCTGCCGTCCTTCCTGCTCTGTGTCCAGCTGCTGCAGGCCCCAGTGCTGCATCTCCACCTGCTGCCGCCCCATCTGCTGCCAGACCACCTGCTGCAGGACCACCTGCTGCCGCCCAGCATGCTCCAGTGCTTCTTGCTGCTGAGCACTCTCTCCCAGGCTCCTGTTCTTCATCCACCAACATTCCTGATGGAGGCCATCTGGGAGCAGAACCCTGAAAGGCCCATCCGAAAGCCTCTGCTCCAGCTGAAATTGGTTTAGGCTTCCAAATATATAGCCCGACTCCTGCCTGCTTACTATCTCTTTCTCTGAAATGAATGCAAGTTTGAATTTCCTCTGAAATCTCTAAACTCTCCTTAACCCCACAGGACCCTTTGCTGTCTGTCACAGTTTCAAAAATGGAGATTTTCCTATATCTTAATAAACCTCAGTTTTCCAGCTACTAAAATATAAATCCATTGTGTCTGCTTTCTTCTCTTTCTCAAATGTCCATCATTCCTCACATTGGTGCTCCTCTCTAAATTAAGAACACACTAGATCAGGGTGCCCGCTCCGTTTCCTCTGCACCCTTCTCCTAACACACAGAGATGGTTTCAGGGACCGAGCACACTCAGCTCACTTCCTGAAGACTTTCTCTGATAGAAGAGGAAGCTTTGGGCAGGAGAGTTGAAGCCCTGGGACACAGCTCAAGCTGTGAGAGGGAGGGATGAGCGCATGCTGTTGCTTGCTTCCCCTTGAATGCACATGTGTGCATCCATTGTCCCGGAGGCAGTGAGAGAGGCTTGAAGCCCTGTTGCCTCCAGGGCTGTCCTGCTCTTTAGAGCACTCTGCTGGCCTCCCTCCCACACTCAGTCACTTCTCTAGGTCCCTGGAACACATTGTGCGATCATTTCCCATATGAACTTCTTTCTTTCCAACTCCTGTTCTGTGTCTGCTCCTGAGGACACACAGAGCAAGACACTCATGTATGGTCTCAATATTGCTGCCAGTCAACACATTTCCCATGCAATGGGTGTAGGTTGCCATGGTATTGAGTCAACTATGCCTTTGCTCTCTGCTGGAATGGTCAGTTTTCTTCATGTCACCTTTTCACATTTCACATGATGTTGGTTGTGGTAGTTCTCTTCAATATTTTGCAGTTTTTAATTTTCAGTACTCTTGTCACTATATATTAAAATGACAAATTAGTGGATTTCCCCATCAATTATTCACACATTTTTAGAAAGTATTTTATATTTGCTCACATAATACCTGTACCTGTTCCTTTTCCCTCGTCTACTTCCAATTCCTTATTATCATTTTTTTCTTTTCTCGTGTGTGTGCCATACATGTATGTGTGTAAATATATGTATACATATATGTGCAGCTGCAATACTAAACATATAAAAGAAAACATCTGGTACTTGTATTTATGAGTCTGAGTAATTTTGCTTAATATACTAACCTCCAAGTCTTTCATTTTCCTACAAACGGCATGGTTGTATTCTTAATACCTGAGTAACTCTCCATCCTGCGCATTTGTCCCCATTCACCTGCCCATTTATGCAAAGATAAGCACCTATGCTCTTTCCATGATTTCACTGTCACTAGCACTACAAATACCATGGATATATAGGTACCTCTTCTGGCTTCAAATAATCTTATCAAGAAAGTCCCTCCCAATTTAATGAATTCCTGATCCAGTCAAGTTGACAACCAAGATCAACTCTCACATAAGCACTGGCAATAACATCTGAATGGTACTCTAAAACCTCAGGAAATAAGAGAATATCATAGACCTCAGCCACCATGCTTACACCATAAGGATGGGCTGATATCCTCTGAAATCATGACCCACAATAAATCCTTCCCTCAGTTGTTTCTGCGAGGTATTTTGTCACAACAATAACAACAGCGACTAATACCCAGTGCACAGTACCTCGTGGGAAGGAAGGCATAGCAGAAGAGCAGCTCAGTAAATGCTGGCAGAAGTATGAGGGATCTGAGCACATACTGGCAGATTAAGGAAGAATCTGAGGTGGATATTACATTCAAAGGCTACCGTAGTGGTCCAGTTCTACCACACAGGCCCCATGACCCAAATGTTTCACAACCTCTCAAATTAGAACCACTGGCTACAGACCAAGGATTTAAAACATGTCCCTGTGGGAACACTCCTAGGTTGACTAGTTCCAGGGGACTATGAGCATCTCTCAAAATGTCCTGTAATTGTGGTGAGTCACCTGTCCTCTTGATCAAGGAGGCCGAGGAGACCCCACCAGATGGACTTGAACCAA